GGAATGCTAGATCTCAGTAATTCTCAGGATGACTGTCTCATAGTTTCGGACGGAAGCCCACATCTCAGTATGTTGTTGGACTCCCTACCTAGATCCAGGGGAAGGAGAAGCGGTAAATCCACCGTCTACACCCACCATGATTAGGAGTTGTTTTCTTCTTTTTTTTTATATTTTTGGGGATTTTATGTGGTTTATGTTTCCATTCGAGTAAGTTGTAATCCCTATGAGTGGGTTCTTTGTACCCACTCACTAAAACCTTTGTATCATCTCTTTTATATTAATGAATTTTGTCTTTTCAAATATATATATATATATATATGCGCACACACACACTTATTGAGGGAGAGATTGCATTCTTTTCATCACTAAATTTTACATCCATAACAAATGTTGAATTTTCTATGGTCCAACATTCTCCTATAACTTTATGAATTCTCAAGTATTGATATTTCTTTCCTTCTAAGCTAAAGAAGTAAATAATTAACTATGTGATAAATCCATTCTAGGGAAAAGGAAATCCATTTTTAAGGCAAAATAGCCACTCATTTTGTTCAGTATCTTTAATTATATGAGAGTACAAAATTTAATAGAGCTTCTTTGAACGCAAATTAAACTCTTATCCATACTCATCATAAGCCTTCCATGATACATCAAACATCTATGATTCCATTTAATTCAATAAGTGGTGAAGATTCTTGAAACCTACGTTAACATAGTTCATCCTGCACTTTCAAAAATTTATTGTTCGAATTCTCTTCATTTCCTCTAAACGAATTTGGATAGTAAGCAATAACTAATTGCTTATGATTTGTGAATGGTGGTCAAGAGAAACTTAAACTTCAATGGGTGAGCATTAATAAAGAAAATCAAGAAATCAGCAATTACCACTGAAATCACTACCAGCAGATTCAGTTCTCTTTTCAATTTAGATACTGAACAATCTTTATATTTGAATCTTCTTGCACGACTCTTTTATTTGATTTTCAAGTGGAGTGAAAATTAAGCATGGCCAAAACTGAAGATCTAGATGGAGCATCAACCATAAGGAACAAAAGAACTTGGAAAGACCTCATTCTTTATAGATCCAAAGTTACTAGCGTTAGATTGTTATGCACTTCTCAAACTCTTGATTCATGGCTTCTTAAAGCTCATCTAAAGAAACTTTTCATATCAATTTCTTATGGTTCACTTGTGATTATTTGGATGACTAGATCTAAGGTTTTGCATTCATTACAATTAAAAAAAACCAAGACATTCATCATTCAAACTATTTGGAGCCAACTTTATGAACCCACATTTTTCATCTATTCTAGTTGAGTGTTATCTAAGGCGTTTAGACTTTTATTCAATCATTTTTAACAGCATCTATCCATCTTACCATAAATGCAAATGCAAGTTATGTTTGTAAAACAAAAAGCATGTTGATGCACAATCTTGTTGGCCCTTTTACTTCGATCTTAATAGCTTCTGGAGATTCGTGTGGCAGGTATTGCCCCTATATAGAATCAACTTCACACATCTCCTTAGTTGATAGCAAAAACTCTTTTAAGAATATTCTTCTTTCACCAAGATGCAATGTCTTCTAAATGTAAAGCTTGAATGAACCAGTGAAATCACTACCAACAGATCCAGTTCTCTTTTCATTTTAGATACTCAACAATTTTTATATTTGAATCTTCTTGCACAAATCTTTTATTTGATCTTCAACTGGAGTGCAAATTAAGCATAACTATAACTGAAGATCTAGATGGAGTATCAACCATAAGGAACAAAAGAACATGGAATGATCCAAAGTTTCTAGGGTTTGTTATGCACTTGTCAAACTCTTGATTCATGGTTTCTTAAAGCTTATCTAAGGAAAATTTTTAATTCAATTTCTTATGGTTCACTTGTGATTATTTGGATGAGTAGATCTAAAGGTTTGCATTCATTACAATAAAAAAAAACAAGACATTCATCATCCAAACCATTTGGAGCCAACCTTATCAATCCTAATTTCTCATCTATTCTAGTTGAGTGTTACCTAGGTGTTAAGACTTTTAGTCAATCATTTTTAACAACATCTATCCACCTTACCATAGATGCAAATGCAAGCTGTGTTTGTGAAGCATAAAGCATGTTGAGACACAATCTTGTTGACCCTTTTACTTGGATCTTAATAGCTTGTGGATATTCATGTAGTAGGTATTGCCCCTATAAAAGAATCAACTTCGTAAATCTCCTTAGTTGATAGCAAAAACACTTTTAAAGCTTGAATGAAACACTGAAATTACTGCCAGCAGTCCAGTTCTCATTTCATTTTAGATGCTCAACAATCTTTATATGTGAATCTTCTTGCATAATTCTACTATTTGATCTTCAGCTGGAGTGAAAGTTAAAAATGGCTACAACTGAAGATCTAAATAGAGCATCAACCATAAGGAACAAAAGAGCTTGGAATGACCTCATTTTTTATAGATCCAAAGTTCCTAGGGTTAGATTGTTATGCACTTCTCAAACTCTTGATTCATGGTTTCTTAAATCTCATCGAAAAAAGATTTCAATTCAATTGCTACTGGCTCACTTCAAAATTATTGGACGATTAGAACTACAGCTTTGCATTCATTACAATAAAAAAAACTAAAACATTCATCATCCAAACTATTTGGAGCCAACTTTATGAATCCTCATTTTTCATCTATTCTAGTTTAGTGTTATCTAAGGCATTGAGAATTTTACTCAATCATTTTGAACAACATCTGAACATCTTATTATAGATTTATGATTCTTCCATCGAATTCTCTAAAACTAATCGTATCTACTCGTGCATAGTTTATCATGCATTGTACATATCCAAACCACCGAAATCTATTTTCTTTTCCGTGCCTTCAATAGATGTCACAAAAGTTGCATGTAATAACCCAACCGCCTCCTCAAAAAAAGAAAAGAAATTGAACCAACTAATAATGATAGAACTGACCGGGCAATTGTTAGTTCACATAAAGCGAAGAAGACGAAGGCGAAAACAAAGGGGAGACATGAGCTGAAAGTGCAGCATATAAGAGATAGGGGGATTGATTCATTGAATGAGATGCGCAACAATAAGTGGAGAAAGAACAGGAGACAAAGAAAACGAGTGTGAAGTCTTTGTGCGAGAGTGAGATGTCATGTGAGCTGGGGCATGTGCAAGCAATCGATCATTAGACAACGTCATATGGTGTTTTGTCTTTTGCATGATCGTTACAGGATCATCATGAGCCTGGGGGTAAACGAACGGGCAAAGATGTTGGCATGCGGCATTCGAGAACAAATTGAACAAAGGAGGTGAAGCGGTTTCAACTTCCTAGAGATTGAAGAAGGAAGCGAAGAAGTGGGGAGCTTGAGTTGTACTCAAAGAGAAGCTGGAAGTGAGCTGCACGGAGTTGGTTCTTGAAGATCAAGGTGGGCTCAATCAAGCAAGCATATAAGTTCAAAATAAGGTTGAGCATCACAAGCCTAGAATGCCAAGAAGATGAAGCCGAAATTGGTACATTTCTGCATGAAGATAAAAAAAATTCTAATCATAGATATAGTTTTTTTTTTTTTTTTTTTTAGCCTTGGAAGCATAGTGATGTTTTGGTTTAGTGAAATTCAATTTTATTTTGCTTTAATGAATGCTAAACTTAAAATAATATATTATATCTATTTATTTAAGTTTTCACATAAATTCAGCATCAAATATAACATTATTCGTGGACAATAAAGTAAAGAGAAATACTATATATGAACCATCAAATGCAAGATATTAAAAATTTAGATAGTTGTAAAACGTTTTATGGTTGGTAACATATTGTCAAATATAAATAGTAAAAATTATATGACTAATACATACATGAACTTAGACTTAAATTACCTTAAATGTGGAATTATCTTCAAACTTTATTATGAATTCTTAAATGCAAACTCTTTGCATTGATTCAATGTTCATAAATTAATTTAATACAATGATAAATCATTCAACAACATAAGAAATAGTTGATTATTATTATAGTATTTTTTAATGTCAAATGTTCTTATAAATAATGAAAATTTAAATTATACCATTGATATCTGAAAATCATGTAAGTTGAAAATAAACTCTCATTTATAGAAGTTATAATTACATCAGTTAGAATTAAAAAAAAAAAGTTGAGCTTTTGGTTAAATGAGAATAATTTCAAATCAATTGTTATATTTGAATTAATTCGAATAGTGATAAAATTGATAGAGCAATTAATTATAACCTGAGTAGGTTAAAGTGATGTCAAGAGAATTAAAAAATTTGGTTAGTTGTTTTTTCATAAATCTTATATATGGATTTTGTAGTTTATAGGTTATTTGTTATCGCAAGAGTAGAAGGTATCAAAATGACAAGCTTGTGATTCAAACATTGAAACTTTAAAGTGAAATTAGAGTAAGTAATACATTTATGAATTTCATTATAGTTTTGTGATTGTAGATCACATGCATTTAACTGGCATGTTGTTATTCAAGTTCTTCATTTAAGACTTCTGTTAACTGATTCTTTGCAATTGATCAGTTATATTGTAAAAATAATGAAACATAAATTATTATTATTTTAAGAATGCATATACAGTTGTTCTCTTTAAAAAAAGCATTAAATCGTTACAGCATAAAATATAGACTTTTACATGATAACACATGATGATTAGCAGACAAGCATGGTATCTCATAGAGAAATAATACATTTTATGATGAATGCAAGTGAAAATAATTTATATATGAATGATTGCATGTGCATGTTAAAAAGAGTTCACCCTCCTATAATACTAGCAAAGAAGTTTTCAATGGGATCATCAATCAGCCATGCTAATACAAAAAACATATGCCAAGTCATTTATACAGCTCCCTATGTTTCATGAAGTTGCTTCAAATGCCAAACATATAAGATCTAGAGTTTAACTACTGTTGTCACTAAATTTTAAATGAACAAAAAAATTTGAAATAACACCATGAGTGACTATCTGAATGAAAAACCATACTTGCCAGTTTGGCTGGTGAACGGATGAATTCGCTGCAAGTTTGCTAGACAACTTCCTCTTTAAGCCCTCAATTTCTTTGATGTTCACTCAAACTAGTTAAACTTGGTAAAACAAATATACAGGTACATTAATTTTAGCGGAAAAAGCAAACTCTACCATTTTCTCCAGGCTTCAAGCGCCCACCAGGAAGTTTACAAAACGTGTTTCCAATTTGAAGTAGCAGTATATGGGGATGGTTGTGTTCTTGTACCTAAAAGTCAAAAAAAATTTTGATATATAAGAAGCTGAAATCAAGGAGCTGTCCCAAGCAGAAAAGTGTATAGATAAGGGGCTCACAGAACAAATTATAGAAAATGAGAACATAAAAACGACAATAAAAAAATATTCAACTAAAAAGAAAGGAGGAAATTGAAACAGACAGTCCATAACTCAGCCATTCAAAGAAGCAAAATGATAATCGCACGGTATAAAAATTTAGTTTGCGAAAGCAAACGGTGTGGACAGGCTGGCATGCTAAGAAGCTCAGCTTCTTTTATCAGCAGTATAAGTTGCATGTTTCAATTATAGCCAAAATCACTAAGAATGTAAGCATATCTCTAAAAGTGCTATCAGTTGAATAAAAACAGTTCCATTTACATAGATACCAGCCAATTCCAAAGTATCTAGCACCTAAACATTACTTTTTACATTTATACCAGTCAAATTTTTAATATCACATCAAAAA